ACACACGAATTTTAATGTGCAGGACCTTCGGAGCAGTGACAGGATAGAGAGGGTTGAGCCCCGAATCGGAAAAGTCAGGGCAGAAGTTGAAACTCAACGATGGCAAGAGACATGCAGCTTTGGAGAACTGCGGAACCATAGTATCCATATTTGCGCAAAAAAGGGACTACGCTATAAAAATAAACAAGATCTTGTAGCATGCCTCTTAGCTTCAGCTTGTCTGAGTTAAAACCACGCAGCCAATCTACTTGAATGGGGACGACCAACGTGCAAGGCCATCTCTCGTGCGAAACTTAAGAGCTGGAACTCAATGGCCCACTGGGTTGCTTCCGGGATCGCGGCTTCTTTTGCCTCGAGTGGAAGTCCATACATGGGTTAAGGGTGAAGACCCTATACTCCACTCTGACTGATGTCGTGAAATTAGCCCGGAAATTGAGTAATTGCATCAGAACAGTATTATCTTTTCACCATCATAATTGAGTGCGAAGGAATCTGTTTCTCTCGCCTTTGGCATCAAGGCAGCTTTAATTGAAATTAGTATTTATTAATGATAGTAAGAGTGCCAAAGCAGTAAAACTTTCAGAAAACAGAGGGAGAATGGTGCGCATGTTGATTCTATTAATGAATCCTGCCTAAATATGCAACGGCCTGGGGCTAAGGAAAGACCGAAGAAGAAATTGAGGAGTCATGTGAAGTGAAGAGGGAGATTAAGGCCTACCCGCTTCCAAGGAAAATGAAACAAGTTAATTTTCCATGGCGACTTGTACTATGCCGAGACTTGTTGACTTGTCAACTACATTAGACGCTGACTCGGCTTGGATCGTTTCTTCCATGATGCATATAAAAACAAAAGTATTCCTCACTGTATCTCTCTTCCCGCACTAATCTCAAACTTCCTCTTGATCTATTTCACACAACATTGCACCTCAGCTTACTTATCTCGCTTTGTTCCTCTTATTCTGACTTTATCCCTTTGAAAATCAACAGCTCCTCAAAATGCGCTCTTCTCAATCACTACTCTATCTCGGCACCTTGTTCATATCAGCCATATCTGTGGCGCATTGTAATGAATACTTTCTATGTTCAAACAATTATATGATTACCTTGAAAAAAATAACACCTTCCCATACTGAGTTTCTGAGACATCTAAGACAATCGCAAACCAGTGCAAGTTTTCTGGCCAGTCAGAAATACAACGGAAACTTGCAGGGAACAGGTGGACACCACGATTTATATTGGTCGCACATTGAAACAGCACGTGTTCCCCACCTATCTGGTGCGTGAAATTATTTTGGTTATTTTGATCATTATTAACCAGAGATATAGGAAATGTATATCGTTACTACGAACTCCTAACTAATTATGGTGGTCTGGTTGGTGTATTTCAAGTAGCTGATGGACAAAACATAGGCGTGAATGACAGATTGTGTCCCAAATATGAACGTGGCACTCCAGTCATCCCAACTCATGGGGCGGATGCGACGCCTCTTGTGCATTTTTAAATTGTTAATCGCAATGGGCTTGCAAGCGGATTAGAACATGAGGAGCTTGAGATAAGCTTACCTTTGTGATGGTTTAGGTTGCGGGTGTCTTGTAGCTCCAAAGGACTAATATGTACGGTAGAGTTTGGGACTGGATTGAAGTTTTTTTTCTATGAATAAATGATGCCATCTATTTACATAGGGTTTTGTAAGGATGTAATAACCTCTAAGTCATCGCAGTTGTAAAGCTTGTTCATTCAAGTAACTATCAAAGTCAAACTAAGAAAATATCTTGTATGATGTCGTGTGTCAATAAAACGGCACACTTGACATCCCCAAAGGTTCTAGCCTAGAGCCAGCCTTTATTCCCCCAGGAATGGGACAATAGCCTTCACTTTCGACCGGTTGACCTTCAAGATAGTAAAAGGTTGCATTTTTACACGCGTCGTCAGCCGTCTCTTTAGGGGGAATATTCTCAACACCTGTCAGTGGTGCCCCCTACGAACCCCCAGCTCTCACTGTAGAGTCTGCAGAGCCCAGATTGAGTAACAAATTCCTCACTTCGACGAGAATTCCCAATCGCTTTCGCGGTCTGTATCGTCTTCATCTCTCAACACATTCCCCTATCACCATTATCATGAAGCTAACCACGATCAGATCAGATGGTAGGGTCGGAGCTCTACTTATCACCAAACCTTGATCACGGAGGAAAAGCCATCCGATGAGTTTCCGGAGCGTACCCAGCACCCGATACGGAGATGGTGGATTGGATCAAGTCGGCCTCGACTGTTACAAAGAAGGGAGACATAGATGAATATGCGCACCTCATGTGGTCCCGGTGTCTAGGCCTCGCCTGGCTGGGGCTGCAGGTTTTTTGAGACTTTTTCCCGCGCACGCAGTTTCCATTGCTACCATTTTTTATTTTTTTTGCGTAGAAGGTTCCGTGGAAAAGGTGGCTGAATTCCACGGGTAAACGCTGAGCTGAATGGCAACTCATCAAGGGGAATATATCAATGATCTTTCAAGTAATAAAAGTGGATAGGAGCACTGTATAAGATGTGGCCCGGGTCAGAGAGGAGCCCAACGTGCTAGATATTCATAGACTCAAGTAGTACAATGAAAATACATACACATATACCATACTACATAGCTGAGCATAACATATATTACAGAGCATTCAATCTTTATTCTTGGGCCAACCTCGTTGGTAATGCGAAATCTGATTGAACTTAGCTCCGAGGGAACATTCCACTTCCAGGCTCGTGGAGGACGCTGCGGACATATATCTGTCTTTGTCTTTCACAACACCTCTTCATCACTTCGAAAGGATAATTCCCCTCTTTAAAGTCTCTTGGAGAACTCGTGGTCGAAGTTGGTGATTATACTTCGCAGCCTTCATTGACAACTAGCTGCAGTTTTTTCAAATCAAGTCGTGGAAGAGTGCGACATTAATATGCTAACGCGGTCAAGGTACCAACCATATACTACAGTGAAAACCACAGAACAAGGGTATCCACGGGACTAAGGGCGCGACGAACAAAGTGAACATACCACACAACGCGCGCTAATACAATATTTCCATCAAGAATACTTGTAATCAAAAGTAATGGCGCGAGAAATAACATAGATCCTATGTGCACCGGACGATGCAGTGCTGTGACATTGATTATCCCTATATCTTTTATTATCTGAAGTTCTGGAAAGGGCTTGTCCCTCAATATCTATAAGAACAAATTTTGGCATATTTCAAAACTAAATTTCTCAACTGTAATTAGAATCTTCAGTTAGATTCACAAAGTCCCCCATAGTCTTAGACTCAGTAGGGACTATAATAAAAATCTAATCTAATCTGAAGTTCTGGATTATGGCTGCCTCTTCCTGGCTGGTAAGGGTTATCATTACCATCGACATGTGAGCCTTTCTCAACTCTTCCCCACAAGTATTATTCTAATCCATGCGCACTAGAATAGCCTTTGCGCTTTCAATCCCATGTTTGACAGCTGGTGGGTCTATTTCGTTTGATGGGTCCATATGAACCACTAATTTATTATCTAATTAAGGACTAGAAGTTGTCTAGTGTAGGAAAACAATATCTGTAATAGTGCCCCACGTGAAAATGTAAATTCAGGATTCTCCCCGGCATTTAAATTAAAGGTTCAAGGATCATCCTGAACTGGCAAAATGCCTCGATGCGTCTATTAAGCCGCTATGTCACGAGTTACGCGTATCGAGTAGCCGAGTAAAGCATACTGCTAGTACTATGATTGCTTTGAGCCATAAGGGACAGACTTTGTGGATTGATTTATCATTCTTCTTACGTCTGTGAATATCTAGCACAGCGACAGATGTATTGTACCCGCGTAATTGAAATCTCAGTGGCTCGCTTTTTCTGCTGTGAGACGCGCGGAATCCCTCGCCCTTTTGAGGGACTCAGGCCATAGAATCACACGTTGTAGCATGATAGGAAACACCCAAGGTGAAAATTTGTACCCTAGCTACATGCTCACTCATTATGAATTTCAGCGTTTCCAGCACAACTTTGTCAGGAGCCTCTAATACCACAGCTAATTTTGGTTTTTGGCGTCCAGGACATGATTTTCGATGATCTCTACGACATTGATGGCACGTGCTTTGGCAGCTCAGAAGCGATGGAGAAGGATTGTGTGAAAATTTTCATCCAATTCCGCGAATCATCTGTTCTGAGGCTACTTCCGGGCTAGAATTGCCGACAAAGACAGCCAGTTTTGGTTTGTCGCTAATTACTTTTGCCATCATTTTGGGACATTGTAGCCAGGCGCGAATCTAAAGTGGATATGAAGAAGGGTCGAGGTATCCGCATGATCTTACGCTCGCTCACGGTCTCTGCAGTATTAGGGATAGCGTAACTGTAAACCATTGCACTCGGGAGTTCGGAGATGTGGGACTTGTGTCAAAACGTGACAGCGTGCATGAAGCGGGCTGATTCAAGTGTTAGTGGGGGAGGTCACTATCGATTTAATAAATTGACTTGGGCCTCGTTCGATCTTATACCCCTATCTCGCATATATCTAGTACTCTGCTAGTGTAAATCTGGTACCGCGACTGTTTATTCTATTTATAGAAAGGCTGGAGTGCTGCGTGCCCTAAGACCATTGTACCTTATTACCTAATCACCTCTTCATAACCGGTGCCGGATTCCAGCAATCTGCCCCTCGTTCAACTCTTTACCATTATCTCTTCATTGCCCTGGATACCTATTTAACATAACACCTAAACTGTATCTCAACTCGAATTCTAGCTAATCGCTAATAAATGTCGTACATGTAGCTTTCAGCTTGGTTTTATCACGAACAGCGGATTAATTCCACTAGGAGCTGGCTACTTTGCCATCCAACATACCCGTTTTATTCCACAGCTACCAGATTTATTCGACTTCAGCACCATTTCTGCAATATAAACCAGGGTCATGTGAGGCACTTTCGTTCTCCAAATTAAAAGCCTGCATCGCTGAGTTCTGAAACCCAGGGTTTTCGAGAGGCCATGGAAGACGATCTTTCCCTTTCTCAGACCCTGGGTGGCTTGCGAATTGTGAATCCTGACAACGAATCATCACCTACATCGTCAACAGAAGCTACATTGTCGACGACAAGGCCTACCTCGATCAATACCGCAGAAACTGATCATTCATCACTGTCTCAAAGAGCATCGCCCCTGAGTCTATCCTTTCTATATCGTGGCGAGTCACCCACCGAATTCTCTACATCAAAAGCCTCGTCATCAAACTACGACCAACAATTTATGAATCAATGTTCAAACTATAGCAGTAGAGAGTCTCTTATGCAAAACAAAGATCAGGAATCAAAAAGTAAGATAGAGATGAACAGGGCTTTTAGGAACTCAGTACCATCAGACGAAGTAACACCCAAAGATGCTCAGCTTCTATTGCACGATACCAGCGAGAAAAATCGTAGTATAGAACAGTTTCATGAAAGATTACCTCACCCAATATCAGACAATAATTCAGGCCAGTTATCATATAATCCATTACTAGCTGGTGACTCAAACTTATCGCGCTACGGAATAGATCCGTCGCGCTTATCACTCTTGATAGCATCATCATCATCCTGCACTGACTCACCACGAAGCACGGTTTCGGAAGTAGAATCAGTGTCAAAGAAAGCCATCGGCAGAGAACAATCTCGTAGTCAAAGAAATTCATCATACGCCGGTAATGACTATGGGAATCCTAGGCCCAGCTTCAGAAGAGCTATCGGGGCATACTCTGAGATCAGGCCCGGCTACATAAACGAACCAACATCTAGATATGACATGGAGGCTAACATGGCTCCTAGCAGCGAGGATTGGAAAGATAAGGGCGCTGCTGTGGGCATACGAGAGGAATATGACTCAAGTGGTAACCTTGTGCTGCGTCAGGTTAAGAAGGGTGTCAGAGATTTTGTTTTCGGCCACCTTTTGGGAGAGGGATCTTACAGCCAAGTAGTTCTTGGTACAGACCGGCAAACTTTAAAGGAATATGCGGTCAAAGTACTGGACAAGAAGCACATTATCAAAGAAAAAAAAGTCAAGTATGTCAATATAGAAAAGGACACCTTGAATCGATTAATCGAACATCCAGGTATTGTAAGGCTCTATTATACATTTCAAGATAGCGCTTCGCTTTACTATGTACTGGATATAGCTAGTGGCGGTGAGCTATTAGGCGTCTTGAAAAAAGTGGGATCATTTGATGAGGAATGCACGCGATTTTATGGAGCACAGATACTCGATGCTATCGAACATATGCACAAAAGGGGCGTAATTCATCGAGACCTTAAGCCGGAGAACGTCCTTATGGATGATAAAATGCACGTAAAAATCACAGACTTTGGCACGGCAAAGCTTCTACCGGATCCGCGGAAACAAAAGGATAAATCGGGCAGTTATGACTTTATTGATGATGAAGATGAGTCTTCGCGCGCAAAATCGTTTGTTGGAACTGCAGAGTATGTGAGTCCTGAATTACTAACGGAAAAAAATGCTTGTAAGGCAAGTGACCTTTGGGCATTTGGCTGTATTATCTATCAATTACTCACAGGAAGGCCGCCATTCAAAGCATCAAATGATTACCAAACTTTCCAAAAGATCGTGAATCTTGAATATGAATACCCACCCGGCTTCCCCCGGCAGGCTAAAGATCTTATTGACCGTCTCCTCGTTTTAGATCCACAAAAACGCCTGTCAATCGAACACATCAAGTCTCACCCATTCTTCGAGGGGACTCAATGGGGTCGTGACTTGTGGAAGCAAAAGGCGCCGAGGCTAAAGCCATACGTACCCCAACCCCAGGAACCTAATATAATCAAGCTCAGCAGCGGTTACCCGAATATCCATGGGAACACTAAAAATAAGCGTGGGTCGAAAATCTCATCAAATGGTACATCTCGGCCGCATCCAACAGTAATCACTGAGCTCCCTCCTCCAACTCAACTCGACATTGAATGGTCACCTGTCCTAACAAGAAATAATGAACGGATATTAAAACTTGGGAACCTAAATGTCTCCACGAACCCCATCTCACACAGCTCGAGCACGCGTAATGCAGATCACGGTGATAACCATGAAAGAAAAAGACTTTCAAGGTTCTTCGGTGGGAACTCAAATAAGAAAAGGCAGCGACTAGTAATTGTTACTTCCAGTGCACGAATCGTTCTTGTCGCAGCAGGGGGCGAGGAGAAAAAGTTGAAGACAGAAATTTCGTTATTAGGATCCGAATGTTCCTGGCAAGTACAAGCCGACACCAAAGGTCAGGAAATTTGGTGTGTTTATAATGTATATCACTCCTGTTTATTCACTTGTTGATCGTTACTGACTATAATCAGCAAGGCACCCAATATTCGTTTGAAGATTCAAAAAACGCCGTAGTAACAGGGGATGCACCCAAAAGTTCTGCACAGCAATGGATTGATTCTATCGAGCGCGCCAAAGAAATTGCTACATCCCAGTCCGTGATTAATTCTTTTAACAATGATATTGGTTTTGATGTGATATCAACCATGTCCAGCCCAAAAAGCGCACGGTTTAGCGGTAAAAATTATTGTGAGAGTATCAACATTAACGACCGGTCTAGTCGATCTTATCTGAAAAAAGGGTTGACAAATCTCGGCGGTGATGAAGCCGAAAATTATGGAAAAAAGAGTAGATTTGGTAAGAGACAATCCAAGAGTGGGTTATCAATACCATTTTGAGTCGCCCAGGCTCTTTCGTATACTTGTTGACATCAATGAGGATACCCTGTTATTATTTTTCTGGTCGATTTAGTTGAGCAGCTTACATTGTCTGTTGAAAGTATTACAGCGCGGCGTTACAGCTAGAGTACTACTCATTCATATCCCTTGTTGTGGGAAATGTACGAATAAAAAAAACTCCTATTCATACTTATTATTTTCAAGTTGCATCAATGTTGGAATAGAATAGACAAGCTTTTATTATGGTGTGTATGAAATCTTCATTAAAGGTGCGGTATTTATCAACAAAAGACTTTGGTATGGCGGCTTCATTTCAGACAAATTCAAATGTAGACGGTGTTTTGGGCATTGATGGCTTCCAAGTATTTCATGAGCTTGTAATTGGTTTGAATGTGTGGCGTACATTGTGGGTGGACAACATTTTGTAACAAACAGGATAGTGACTCACTGGAAAAAAGAAAGAGCTTTTATTTTGCGTTTTATGCTTGCGGGTTCAGCGTAAAGTCGTGATACAATGCAGCTAAATCATAAATTCTGGGCGTCACGGCTCAGATTGTAAATAATCGTTATTGTAGTACAGGTGTCACTGCCGTATTCAGATATTGATTGACCTCCGCATTTATGTCAAACGTAAAATGCTAATATGTTAGAATTTAGAATTATTGGGGTTATCAAGTACGCCAAGTTGATACACACGTGACTACGAATTCTGTACTTAGTTTCACTTCGGTAGTCAATTGAACCAATGCGCTCTACAACCTCAATGAGTGAGGGGCCATTATTTCTTCAACATAATTCCCATTTTATCAGCTTTATAACGCTCAAGCAATCACAACTGATTTTGGCGAACAAACATGCCAATGAAAGCCGGCAAAGACGAATTCTCCACCTTCAAATTGTGCCGATATAATCGCTCATCATACCCTGCATATCTGGGATAGCCAAGAAGAAACGCATCCGAATCGGTATCGAAAACAATCCCAAGCATTTCTGAAGTCAAAAACCTCCTGTCAATTTCGGACCCATCATTCTCACTCGAGTCCTGTACCTTAATCTTACTACACCACCTGGCCTTTACTTTCTATAACAGCGTTACTCCAATTGCAAACAGGAGCTTGCCTCACTCGTTACCGGCCATCACCCACTATAAGATTTCGAATTTATGTTTACCCGCGAGGAGGAAGGTAAGTCATAATACGCAAAGCTCGGGTCATGGTTTATGGGGGACCTTTTTTCTGATGGGGCTTCACATCTTGATGGAAGATAGGCAGCTGGGACGTGGGACGAACGAGTGATGAGGTCACGAAAGGGCATACTGGAACGCAAAAATTTTCGAATGTTTTCGTCTTGAGGGTGTCTGTGGGCGCAGAGGCAACGATTTCGGATAGTGCAACCGACTCTCTAAAAACAGGCAGCGGTGGTATGTGTTTAGATCCGCTTCCTGGTCGTCATCTCCCCTGAATTAAATTCTGGTAGCCTGGACACCTACCTCACTCGAGAAAGGGAGGATTGTGAGGCCATATCTCGCGCGGTAACTATATACAATATGGCAAAGGCATGATAGGGTAGCCAGAGGTTTTCCCATTTTTCCTTTGGTGGATATTAACGGTTGAGGGAAGGGTGAAAGTCCCTTGCACCAAGGTCTCGAGTGGTGTCTGTGAATGGACTCGCGGCACGAGTAGTCTAGATTTCAAACTGAGTTATCGTCGTATGAAGTCGTCGGGCAACCTACTATTCTCCGTGTCATGCTCTTTGAGCGCATGGCTTGTGCCCGACACGAATAGATACTCACTCATTCAAGCTGACGAAATACTGTCAGAGTTAAAGAATTGGAACGCTCTATGTGCAAAATGCACAGATAAGCAACAACGGAGGCTGATGTGTGAGATTATCAAGCCCCGTTAGAACTTAACTGAGTGAATTTCTGGTCACGCGGAATGAAGGCTTCATAAACATAATTAGATTATTCAATTATCTTGATTTGGCGCTCTGAAGGTCCATTCAGTTGTCTGTAACCTGTGATATTTGCATGGGAGGAAAACTTTGGGTAAAAACCTTTGGAAAGTTTCTATTAACAATCCTCAGTTTTCCTATTATTACTATTTTTATAAATATTTAATATGTGTTCAGTTAATTAGTTATAACACACGATCAGTGCTGCGAGCTTGTGTTGGGTGACTTATTTGGCGATAGAGACATTGATGGTCTGAATTTTAATCTCATATACCGCTGAGGTACGTTTGCTTACGCAGACTGTGAACCCTCTTCCATGAATACTTATCGTGTTGGAGAGGGGCTTTATAGAGAAGCTTCAGCTGTGTGGCCCCCATTTATTTTTTAATCATTTAATTTGCATTCGGCAATCTAGTTATTGTTAAAGTTATAAGCTTGAGCGAAGATGGAGGTTACAGCGGAATCAGTGTTGGCGGGTAGACTGATGCAGTAAGTCTTGTATGAGGTTGTGAGAGGAAGATTCGAGTGGAAACAATTGTATTTAGATGTATGGCTCTGAGTAAAACCGAGATAATAAGAGTGAGATTGCGTGTTCGCATATCTTATAAACTGTGGTTTTTGACCAGTTAATCAATCTCCATGGACCGTAAGTTATGATCCCTGTAGATATAGATCTATGGGCCGGGAATATAAAGCTAAATACATGTGTATCGGTAATAGATACGAGAAAGCTACAACGTGCATTTAAGACATAGTCATCCGCTGGAATTCTAGTGTGAAATAAACGCTAATGCGCATTAAACTTTCGGTGAAGGATGTATTGATAACAGTGATATAGAATGGGGAATTTGATAGTCAAATTAGCCGGACTTACAAATAAGTTATTCTTGGCATTCCGAGATACATTATATTTCAACAGCTATGACACATGACCGGTGCTAAAAGTCCAGAATATTCGTGAGAGAATTGATTAGACACCCCATCACCATTACCATTACCATTAGCGTTCCCTTCCGACTCACTTACATTTACACTAATCCGAATTCTTTCAGTAGGAAGACCCTGGATCTCCAACATGTCTCCGGGGCCTGCCAAATCATCGCGACCTATTCGCCTTCAAAGAACCATTGATAGAGCGAATACTAGGCTGGAAAAGCGCTTGGCAAAAAAGAACATTCCATTGAGCTCGATAGACGGGCGAAAAATGGAGCTGGACATGACCGAAAGGATAAGAGCCTTCGAAGAACACTCCAACTCCACGAACCTCGATGTCGAAATGGGTGATGCGGTTATTGACCGATATATCATGGAGGGACTTGAGAGTTCACGATGGAATATAAATGTACCCAAAGACGGTCAGGTCTCAGAGGCCCCTGTTATTACAGTCACGAGAAAGATTGCTGTACCGGCCATAAAGCGGACATCTAATTCTAACTTACAAAAAGCCGAAGATGTCGCGTCCACCATAACCCCTCAGAATACCATTCCGGGGACAAGTGGAAACAATCAATCTTCTTGCAGCGATAGTAGCTTCAAGAACACTGCGACTTGTCCTCCCGAGCTTCGAGCCATACTTGAAGCCGTAGAACAGCGGGCGGCCCAGACCGCATTTAACCTTACAATATGCACTGCTGCCATCAAAAGTGTGGAGAATGCACTCGCACCTCTATCCAAATGGCCGAGTGTTCAATTTATAGACTCCATGAAAGTCCACCTTAGAGCTGCAGTAGCTCAATTCATGTTGTCGGGACCAGGAACAGTCTTTCCCAACCTCCCCCCACGACCAAACTGCCAGAATCATGGCGGAAAGTGTTAGAATAAAATAACAATTGTTATACTAATAAAGACTTATCAAAATAACAATACACATATCCAGTCATATATACACCATTCATAGTCCACGAGTGATCCAGCTCTGTAGAGCCAATACTAATATCTTCTACTCGCGTCCTTTACTCGTGTCCTGAACGGAGCGAGTGATCTGTCTTCCCGCCTCCTGTTTAATATCCGAAGGCCACCATCACGTGACCTTGGTCCTCCATAACACAACATGTCATGCAGACTTCCTGCCCAACTGGTGACCACTAACAGTCAGGTAAATATGTGACCCATATATTATTTACCCCGTAATAACAATGTATATATTAAGTCTCAACAGAAAGATCGTGGAAAAATCGATACAAAAGCAGCCAGAGCAGCTACAAAAAGAGAACCAGGCGAGGATAACTACGGTCAAGCCTACCTGGGCAACAGTTACCCGAACTGGTCCCCACACGCCGGAATCACCTGTGAAATATGTGCGAGTCCATAACAAGCCCCCAGCAAAAGCTTCGAAAACTGCCCCCAAATATGATCGTTTTTTTCTTCGACTCGGAAAAGAACATGCTTGGCGCGCACTCTCGCCGGTCGGTGTGCGAGATGCGGCAGCAAAGTTGCTCGAGCCTCCTCCGTAGAATATCGAACATGTATAATGTGTTCTGACTGGCTTTGCACTTCGAGCCAAAAACCAGGGGATACGACAGCTTCTTCTGGACTCTGCTGAGTCTTTCGTCCAGGTAGATTCAATCTTGGGAAAGGCCTCGGATTTGGTGGCCCTTCGTATTGCGACAATTCCTGTCACAATTCACACACTCCTAGGCAAATTAGTTGTCACCGACGAGATGCTAGCAGATGAAATCCTCCGAGTCACTAAAAAGGTTCCGGTAAGGGTTCGCCCTCATGGAAAAGGGAAAGTGGGGGCCCCTAACCAGATATGGGTAGCTCATTTCGAAAGATCGTCCGTCCCCAGAGCAGGTTTCCGACTGTTCTTCGACTCGGGAATCGCTGTTCGCCATCAGCCACGCCAAACTGTGAGCCAATGCAAGCGATGTCTCCTATACCACGGGACCCAGAGTCTCTCGCGCGCCCCAGTGTGCTGGAACTGCACCTCAACAATGCACTCTACTTCGGAATGCCAAGGACACACGAAGTGCCGCAATTGCGGTGGCCCCCATAGATCAGACAGCCGAGATTGCCTGACTCGCCCTAACAAGTCCAGAATGGCCTCT